CCAGGACCTGCCCCTGCCCCCTCAGGACCTGCCCCTCTCCAGGACCTGCCCCTGCCCCCCCCAGGACCTGCCCCTGTCCCCCTGAAGCAAACAGGACTGAGTGGCACGCAGGGTAGTTCCAGTAATTCCTGCTCCATGACAACCCCAGGTGGATGTTTCACTGTGACAGTAGGTGGGTTTGCCCCATCCTGCTCCTCTGGGCCCTGGGAACAGTTCGGATAAACCCCCAGTGAAACGCAGCACGTTGAAAGTTGTAACCTCCCTTTCCCCAGCACCTCCAGCTGCAGCTGCAGAGCACCCGGAGAAGGATGTTTGGGGGAGGCCAGTTCCCCATCTTCCTGGTGTTTTTCCCTCCCCACCTCTGTGGACTCTGCAAATAAAAACCCTGTTTGCCTCAAAACGCCCCGTGCAACGTCAGATGTTGGGAAACACAAGACAAATACCCAGGCCTGCTGGTAACTGAGGGCAGCTGGGCTAGGGCTGTAAGGGGAATTTTAGTGTGGTCCTGGCCTGAGAAAGGGGCCAGCAGAATGGAAAGGCAGGTGAAAGAAAAGAGTCATCATCAGGAAAATCCTCCCCTCTTAAGGGTGAGCTAGAACTGGGCAGCGAAGAGGAAACTGCCAGGTACATCTCTAGCTTCATTTTCCCTTTTTCTTTCTCTCCTGAAGGTGTTTCATTGCCAAGAGACCAGGGCACAGTGCCTATCACTGTGTGAGCTCTGGAAAGGCCTGCTGGTGACACACAGTTTGGGTGCAGGGCTTTGTGTCAAGCTTCTCTACTGTCACGTTTCGTGGTGCTCCTGCTGGGGGGCAGCCTGGCTGGTGCTTTGCCTCCCTGCAAAGGAGCCCTGGGCTGAAAATGGGTATTAAATAAAAAAAAGGGCTGCAAAGAAAACCAGCAGAGATGAGGTTTTGTGGTGTGAGCAGATGCAGGGAAATGACCAAACGTGTTGTCTGGGATGTAAATGTCAGTGAATTGTTTGGTTCTGAAAAGTGATGAAGTGGCTGAAGTCACACACTCCATTTATCACTCATTCTGCACGTACATCTGCTGGAGTGTTGAAGCACTTCAGTCATCCCAACACTATGAGTAAAGCTGCTGCCTCTTTAATAAGAAGAGGTCATTTTCACTTTTGTTATGAAAATGCTGTTTTCTGTTCTAACTTTGAGTGAGCAGCCTGCCAAATAAATTGGGGAACAGCATAAATAGACAATGTAGCCTAATTGGAGCTGCAGCCAGTGTTGAATGTGGGAGTTTGTTGTGGCTTCCACTCATCCCTCCTGGCCGGGTCTGCAGAGGTTTTTATGTCTTCTGGGACAAGGACCAAGGGTCTCCTACTGGGATCAGGGCTTGATTGACAGAATCTCTTGTGATTTCACTAGATACCTGGCCACTGAACTTGGGTTTTCCTTTGTGAGGCCTACAGGAAAGCTGGGGAGGGGCTTGGGACAAGGGCAGGGAGGGAGAGGACAAGGGGGAATGGATGAAAACTGGAGGAGGGGAGATTGAGGTGAGACATGAGGAGGGAATTGTGGAGTGTGAGGGTGGTGAGAGCCTGGCCCAGGTTGCCCAGGGAAGCTGTGGCTGCCCCATCCCTGGCAGTGTTGAAGGGCAGGTTGGATGGGGCTTGGAGCAGCCTGGGCTGGTGGGAGGTGTCCCTGCCCATGCAGGGGGTTGGAACTGGATGGTCTTTGGGGTCCCTTCCCACCCAAACCATTCTGTGAGTCTGTGATGCTGTTGTGGGTTATGATATGGAATGTATCTCAGTTGATGCACTGGACACAAGAAGTGCTGTGGCTGCTGCAGTCTGCATTTCATGAGGACTATGTACTAAAAGTCTCTCCTTTTGAACAGGAGAACAAATAGACGTGTTCAATGTGATTGATAAAGGATGAGACTTCTAATCAGTGTGTCTACATGTGGAACAACTGGGAGAAAATTAAGTACCAAATACAACAGAACTAAGATGACCAGCAGGTCAGGAAGTGCAGCTAGAGCTTATCTCCACAAGCAAGTGAAAACATGTCTGTTGTGGAATCCTGGGGGCTGGTGGGAATCCAAGGGAATGATAAATGTGGTTTGTCTGTTTTTTTCTTAAAGTCAGCAACTTGGGGCTTTGTTGTAGCAGAGAGTCAGCAGGATTATGGCAGCCTGGCTTGTTGTTCTTGGATTTAAAGTATCACATTCTTCACTGTCCTCATTTCTCATCGCACTGTTATATATACTTAGTGGTTAGTAGGGCATTAACCTCTGGTTTGAATCTATGAGGAATTCCAAGCACTGCATTACTGGAAATTCATGTAAAGTCCTTGGCAAAAAATGGGTAAAAGTGAAGGGTCTGTAAATGTCCATTTTAGGGAAGCATGTTTTAAATGTGATTAATGCCCAGGAACTGCAGCAGATGGTGTTGCAGCAGCTGGGTGAGATGTGGTAAGGGGGCTTTGGAAGAGGTTCCAGAGGAGTGTGCTGCAGTTGGGCAGGGTGGCAGTGAGTGAAAGACAATAGATCTAGTGGTAGATAAAGTGAAGAGAATGTGTGTTGGTGTCAGTATGTGCACATTTGGGTTCGTGTCCAAATTGTCCTTTTCACCTGGGCAGAAGTCCACATGAAGTGTAAATCCCCAGTGGGTGTTCTGAGAAGGAAAACACACCATCCACAGAGGTTTGGGGTTATTTTCCTGGCACAATGAGGCCCTTGTTGGATTCTGGTGCCATTCACTGTCTCTGTCATTGTTCAGGAGGAACACAGCCAGTCCTGTGCCTTCCCTGCTTGCTGGGAACTTCTCCAGAGGCAGCAGTTGGCAGTGGAAGTCTTCACCTCCCCACCTGCAGACCCACCCTGACTTACCCAGCTCCTTGGAGATCCCATGGCTTGCCTCTGGGGTTGTGAGTCCTCTGGGTGCTTATGAACCCTCTGGATGCTTCTGCACATCATTGCTCTGCTCTGGCTCTCTCTCAAGGCATTCCTAGTGACTCGATCAGGGATGTGGTTACCAAAGAAAACACAGCACAAAACATTCTGGATTGAGGTTGAGATGATTCTTTCTCTCCTGTTTCATCACCTTGAGCACATCCCACTTGCAGGTGCTGGGGAACCAGGGTTGCAAGACACCCTCTTTTCTTTTTGGTGACCTTAGTGGAGGATGAAAGGTTTGACCACATTTTCCCTGGCAGAATGTCCTGTCGTGACCAATGCAAAGACAGTAATTGTGGCTTCCCTGAAGGATCATGATGCCTGAGATGCAAAACATTTCCTGGTTGTGCTCCCTTCTTCTCCTTGTAACGTTTCCCATGTGGTGTAACTTCAACCTGGAGAAGACCTGCCATGGCTGACCAAGCCAACAACAAATCAGAAGTCAATTAATTGGTTGTTTATCACTGGCCTCTGTAACCTGCAGAACTCAAACTGGTTTTCTGACCATTATTTTCAACATTTGAATACAATTTAAAATCCTTGCAGGAAATAAGAGCCACTAACCTCTGTCCCTACCCTGAGTTTCAAAGCCATATCCTTTCATAGCAATAGTCTCTATTACTTATGAAATGTAATTTGTCAGGAAATGGGTTATTTTAGGAAGAAAATACAACCCCTTCTTTTCATCTTTGTCATAAAAACTGTGAAGTGAAAAAAATAATTCTTCTCCAGGCAGTTTAATTGTTCTGAAATGTTCCTACAGAAGACTTGGTGGCAGAATGTTTTAGAAAATGCAGGGGAAAAAAGGGTGAAGGGCTCCTTAGCTCCAGACATTTACAGGTATTTTACAGTAAAAAATCTGCTTTCCACAGGAATTCAAGGAAAACCTTTATCCCCTGCTAAAATGAAGACAATCTCTGTGGCTCTAGGTCTGTGGCCTCTTCAGGCCTTCAGCTGAACATTTGTTGAACTAATTCCCAGTTAGCAAATCAGCTGAAGTGTGTGACTTCTCATTAAACCTGTGGACTTAAAGCCCCAGATGAGATCTCTCCTCATGAAGAAGGGTTTTTCCTCGTGCTCCCCTCTACTCCAGCCTTTCCCAGTTTCCCAAGGTGCTGTGCAAGGATTTACTGGCTCGTGGAGGATCCCAGGAGCACAGTTGGCTCCACACAGGATCTTCACAGCTCTGGGAAGAGACATGGAGAGCCAAGAACTGGTGGTGTCTGTGCAGCCCTGGCACAGCAGGGCTGTTTGAGCCTTGTAGCTGCAGCTCAGCCCCACTAATGAGTGCTCTTCCCTTTAGAATTCCAGAGCACTTCATGGAATCATATCAGAGAATCGTGGAATCATTGGGTTGGAAGGGACCTTCAAGATCCAACCCCCTGCATGGGCAGGGACACCTCCCACCAGACCAGGTTGCTCCAAGCCCCATCCAACCTGCCCTTCAACACTGCCAGGGATGGGGCAGCCACAGCTTCCCTGGGCAACCTGGGCCAGGCTCTCACCACCCTCACACTCCACAATTCCCTCCTCGTGTCTCACCTCAATCTCCCCTCCTCCAGTTTTCATCCATTCCCCCTTGTCCTCTCCCTCCCTGCCCTTGTCCCAAGTCCCTCCCCAGCTTTCCTGGAGCCCCTTCAGGCCCTGGAAGGTGCTCTAAGGTCTCCCTGGAGCCTTCTCTTCTCCAGGCTGAACACCCCAACTCTCCCAGCCTGGCTCCAGAGCAGAGCTGCTCCAGCCCAAGGATCATCTTGGCCTCCTCTGGACCACATTAACACCACTTCCCATAAAATGCAGACTGGCACTGGGAAATGTTCACAAGTCCTTTCCCATGCTTCTGTGTGAGTGCTTTTTAACAGCTTATGAACATATTTTTAAGCCAAAACAATTATCCCAAGCCATTCAAACATACAAGAAGTGCTTTTATTTCCCCCTGGGGTGACAGCCACCACAGGCTGTGCAAAGCCCAGTGGAAGATGGTGCCCTGCCCTCCAGCAGGACCAGCTGGTGATCACGGTTCAAAGGTCCCACAGTTGATAATCTTGCAGGCCACCGTGGGCCTCTCATTAACTGTGGGTACATCTTCCAGCCTCTGGAGGAGCTCTGTGCCCTCGATCAGTTGCCTATCAGAGGGAGAAAGTGCACTTAGGACCCACCTCTGCCCAGCACCAGCTCCACAGCCTGCAGCTGGGATGAGGCCACCACAAACCCAGGCACTGGTTTCTTCCTGCCAGGCTGCTCTTTGAAGAATTGTTCCTCACAGTGGGGTGACAAATGTCATCAGTTCCTGATTAAGTAGCCTCTAGTTATAGATGACAATACTATGGCTTAGAGAATCACAGAGCTGTCCTGGTTGGAAAAGACCTTGAAGATCATCAAGTCCAACCATAACCTCATCTACCCATCCAGTGCTTAAATCCTGTCTCTAAGCACCATGTCAACATTTATTTTAAACACCTCCAGGGATGGTGACTCCACCACCTCCCTGGGCAGCTGTTCCACTGTCCAACCCCTCTTTCAGTAAAGAAATCCTTCCCAATATCCAGTCTAACCCTCCCCTGGTGCAGCTTCAGGCCATTTCCTCTGGTCCTGTCAATATTTACTTGGGAGCAGAGCCCAAGTCCCACCTCCCTGCACCCTCCTTCCAGGAGCTGCAGAGGGCAATGAGGTCTCCCCTCAGACTCCTCTTCTCCAGACTAAACCCCCCCAGCCTCTCCTTACAGGACTCATTGATGCAGCTGCAGTTACCTAAAGAAATGAGCTTTGCTCCATGTGCCCCAGCCACAAGTGGCTGTTGCTTCTGAGGACAGAGCAGGTCAGGGACAGGCTGCCAGGAGGGACAGTGGTAGAAACCTGAGAAATACCTTTCATGTCTTTCCCTCACAGGGCCAGCCTGAAGCCTAAAACCAGTCCCAGGCTTCCTGATTCCCAGCCTGTCCTGCTCCCACAGCCTGGCAGCATGAGCTGGGCCTCCTGCAGGTGCCAGCATGGAGGTGGATGCCAGCAGTGCTCCTGGCTGGAATTCCCACCCCATCCCATTCAGCACAGTGGTACCAAGCAGGGAGGACACTGTGGGCAACCCTTGCCCTGGTGAGGGCAGAGCAGAGCCTGGAGCCTTTGCTCAGCACCCCCTGTCCATCAGGGCCCACCTTTGGGTGGCACCAGGCTGTGGAGATATGGATTTATACCCTTCATCCTGGAGAACCCCAACAGCTGCCTTAGCTTTGCCATACAGGGTTTTCCAGCTGGAGCAAGGCAGGGCAGTGCAGAGGAAGGGGTGGGTGGGCATCAAACCTCAGTTGTCCATCCTCCCCCTGGCCTGAGGCACCCACCAACAGCTGCCCACTGGGATTTCATGGATGGTTCCTCCACATCCTGCAGGGCCAGGCTGACCCCCCATGCCCTGCAGCTCTGCAGGCTGCTGTACCTACCCAAAAGCCACGTATTTTCTGTCCAGGAAGGGAGATGGCTGGAGGGTGATGTAGAACTGGGACCCGTTGCTGTGGCGGCCCTTGTTGGCCATGCCCAGGACCCCTCTGCCCTTGTGGGGGACAGAGAATTCATCTAGGGAAGGAGTTTGGGGAGGAGAGGCTGCAGCTGTGGTACTGCCCCTGCTGCTGCCCACCCTGCAGCTCCTTGTGCCAGGTCCCACAGGCTCCCCTTTCCATCTTCCTCCCTGTCCCTTTCATGGAATCACAGACTGGTTTGGGTTGGAAGGGACCTCCAAGACCATCCAGTCCCAACCCCCTGCATGGGCAGGGACACCTCCCACCAGCCCAGGCTGCTCCAAGCCCCATCCAACCTGCCCTTCAACACTGCCAGGGATGGGGCAGCCACAGCTTCCCTGGGCAACCTGGGCCAGGCTCTCACCACCCTCACACTCCACAATTCCCTCCTCATGTCTCACCTCAATCTCCCCTCCTCCAGTTTTCATCCATCCCCCCTTGTCCTCTCCCTCCCTGCCCTTGACCCAAGCCCCTCCCCAGCTTTCCTGTAGGCCCCAAAACAAGTGGTATTGGGTGCTGGGAGATCTGTAGCTAATGCACTTGTACATTTCTAAGGTCCTCTCCACAAAGGTGAGTATTTGCCATTTCAAGCAGGCAGCAGGTGAGCATCAGCCTTCATTTAGGCAGGGAGAAGGGGCTGATGGAGCTGAGCCTTAGGCAGGGAACACCAGAGAAGGGGGAGAAGATCAAAAAGTGTCCTCACTAAAGCAGTTGGTTTGTGCAATCCAATCAGATAACAATTCTGACTGAGAAGCAAACCCTTGTGCTGTAGGGAGGTGAAAGGGAATTCCCAGGTTATTCTGCAAATAAGATCAGATCAACAGCTTGAGGAGATGTGCCATTTGAGCAGCAATGGAGCTGAAGAAACATACCTTCAAAGGTGGGACCATAAATGGACTCTCCTGTGTCTCCCTTCCCAGTTATGATGTCTGCAAGGTAGAGAAAAGTAACCATCAGAGCCCAGTTTTAGCACAGGGATTATTTGGGGTTGTTGGTGGGGGAACCTCTGTGTCCATCTTTGGTTTACTACTGCAATTTTAACAGAGCTTTGGGAAGCTCTGCTGCCATCCCAAGAGGCTACAGGGATAATTATTTCATGTGGTGCAGCCCTGGAGTGTCCAGCTCTGGAGCCTTCAGCACAGGAGAGACATGGAGCTGCTGGAGAGGGGCCAGAGGAGGCCACAGAGATGATCCTTGGGCTGGAGCAGCTCTGCTCTGGAGCCAGGCTGGGAGAGTTGGGGTGTTCAGCCTGGAGAAGAGAAGGCTCCAGGGAGACCTTAGAGCACCTTCCAGTGCCTGAAGGGGCTCCAGGAAAGCTGGGGAGGGGCTTGGGACAAGGGCAGGGAG